TTTCTTTAACCATCAACAAAGCAACATGTGACTGGACAAAACACAATAAGACCAGGCAGAAGTTTAGGAAAGGAAATTACAGATCAATTGGAGAGTTGTAAGTTATCCAGTAACCATAATCCTTCATTACGTTGCCTGAAAAAAAATGTTTTTTAGAACTAATGTTGTCCACAAATACAACCCCCTGTGTAACTAAATAATTTCAGCATTCCATTCTTTAAAAAAACTATGTAATAATTGTAATACTTATGCTAAGCTGAATAAAGATATTCTCAACCACAAAAAATAGTATGCAGAGTGGATTATGTGAAAGCAATCCAAAATGTTTTAGCTGATATGTCTAGTTATGTCACATGGATATTGATAGATTGCTATGTGCCATCAAGTTTTTGTTGACTCTTAATGAGCACATAGATATTTTTTTCCAGGGTACATTCATTGCCAGTGTTACAGAGTCCATCATTCTTGCTGCCCATTTTTCTCTTTCTTTCCTAGCATTGGGGCCTTTTCTAGAAACCTAGGTCTTCACTTAATCTGTCCATAATTGGAGCCCTGATCTTGGATGACAACTCTGAATTGATTTGTTCATTGATTCATTTGTTTGATTCCCTGATATCCTCAAGAATATTCACCAACACCTAAGGCCACAAGCATCAGCATTCACCCTATCTTGTTTCTTCAAAGGCCAACTTTCACTTGCATAAAGCATCACAGGGAATGCCACAGCTTACATGATTCTGGTCTTTGTAGGGTTGTCATTAGTCTGAACTTCTTCATATTTAATTTTAGTGCCACTCTTTTTCACTGTAGTCTTTGATTTTTTATTATTAGAGCTTTCAGATCCTTTGCCTAACGGGAGTGTCATCAGCATAGCCCAAGTTATTGATGTCCTTTTCAAATTTTAAAACTGTGCTCATCTTCTTTAAATCCAGTTTCAGGAAATAGTGGAGGTTGATGAAGGGTAAATCAACTGAAGGTCTCCAATTTTTGAGAATGTATTGCTACCAAATAATATTGGCATGCCAGAAAGCAGAAGAGGAGCTGCCCGGTGCACATGCGCACACCAGGAAAATGATATTTTTGTTTCCAAGGTTCACATGCACCTCGGCCATTTGGTGATCTGGTTTCTGGTGCGCATGCACATGCAAAAACCAGCAACAGGAAGAGCAATGGCTGCACAAGCCAAAAGACGTGGAAAGGGGCTCCCGGCCATCGCTTCTTAGCAGAGCAGAGCTGTGGTCGGGGCTTCCCTCCCTCCCTACCAGAGCGGGCTACTTGCATGGGTCCAGTCCATGGCACTGACGTGCATCCACGGTCTGGAATGTCTGGCCGGGTTGGGCGCCCCAGAAAAGCAGCGGCAGAGGCAATCACAGGGGGATGGGCAGGAGCAATCCAGCAGCCACCACAGCTGCTCCCATATCAGTGAGCAAGGCCCTCCATGGCATCTTTATGTGGGTAGCTCACCTCCCCGCCAACAGCTCCTCCAGCATCCCGCTGGAAGCAGCAGCACAACAGTCACTGTTACCAGGGGCAAAGGGGTGGCTGTGGTGAGAATGGGTGACCACCACCCCTTCATCCCTTCCCCAGCAGCGGCTATCTTGCTGCTGCTTCCAGCCAGGATGCTGGTGGAGGAGCTTCTGGCGGGGAGGCGAGCTACCCAAATAAAGATGCACTGAGGGTCTAGCAGAATATATCCCGGCTGGAAGCTGCAGCACTCTGGACCGCGGATCTTCATCAGAGCTAGCAAGAAGCCTGCTTGGGCGGGGGAAGGGAGGGAAGCCTGGGTCCCCTCATCCTTGCCATCGCCACTCCTGCGCCCCCGGTACCGGGATGCCGCTGAGGGCCTGGCAGAATATATCCCAGCTGGAAGCAACAGCACAACAGGTACAGCTACTCTCATTCTCTTTGAGAGCCACCTTGCTTTCTGAGGCGAGTGCTGCTGGGAAGAAATCAGCAGCAGGGGGAGAAGAAAACAAACTTCTGCTAGGGATGGCCTTCTCCCTCTCCCCCTGATTTTTCCCTGGAAGCGCTTGCCTCGCAAGGCAGCAAGTGGTGTCTGTCTGTGTATGTGAGAGGGGGGCTGGATGGGACCAATCAGCTCGGAGGCTGGCAAATAAGCCTTGGTTTCCCCAGCTGATCGGTCCCATCCAGGCCCCGTAACACACACACACAAACTGCGCTTGCCACGGCGTGAG